TTATTATTTCTAATGAACGGTTGATGTTATCTCAAAAATACTCTCAAAAAGGTCAAAAAGTTGAAGAAGGGATTTTTAATACTAGTTCAAAGGAGATAAAACGTAGACAAAATTTTGAGGAACTAATACCTAGAAAGAAAAGTACATCAACAAGTATCGCTTCAATAAATTTAAGTAATAAGGATTCAACAGATCCTTTTTCGATAAAAGAAGTTCAAATTAATAAAACACAATCAAGAAAACATTCTTTTATCAAAAGTGATATTTTCAATGACTATATTAATTATATTTCAAAAGTCGATTTAAATACACACTTTAATATTTCAACAACTAGTGTTTGTAAAAAAATCCCAAAATATTGTTTTCAAGTAGAATATCGTTTGCTTTGTGAAGTTTTTACTGATTCAATACTTAGAAATTCTAATGTTGTTTTGTTAAAAGGATATCCAAGTATAGTTTCACATAAAATATTTGAAATGTATTGTCTGAAGTCAAATATGCTTGAATTATTAAGAATTATAAAAGACCCTCAACAAATTTCCCAAACTAGAGTAATTATTGGCATGTTTAATAAATGCGTTTTAGCTCTAGAAGAAATAAGAAAATCAAGAGGATTATGTCAAAATTACAGTATCATAAAAGATAGATACCCACACGTTCAATTTATTGCCCTTGGTCGTTACCAATAATAACACTTTATGACTTATTTAAATTCTCACTTTTTGATATGATTCAATCACGAATTTCTCTTTTTTATTATCATTTCTCATTTTTTTGGTTTTTCCTTTATTATAACAAAACTTTTAACTTAAAGTAGAAATCAATCAAAATTAATTAGTTATTTTGTTTTTTAACAATAGTTGAAAAAACCACCATAGCCACCAGAACTTGGTTTTTTTGGTTGTTGTTGAGGTTGTCCTGGGTTTGAATAAGGGGTGTAGGCTGGTGTTATATGATTTTGCTGATTATAATAAGGTCCATTTGGGTGATAAAATTGTTGAGGTTGATAATAACTATAATTTTGTTGTGGGGGTTGAGGATAATTATAATTTGGTTGTTGATAGTTTTGTTGACTAACCATGAATGGGGTAAAATATGTTTCTGGTTGTTGGTTATGATACTCTGTAGGATGTTGTTCGGTCTTTCTTTTTTGTTGATAATCGTCTTTAAACTCTCTTTTACGTTCATCGATATAACTATCACCACCATTAGATCTCCTTTTAGATTGATAAGTACTACTTTGTTTTGTATTTGAAAATCCACGAACACTAATTTCAGGAAGAGTAATAGGTTCTCCATCTAAATACCGTGTTTTAAACACATGACCTTCTTCAAATTGAGGATTAATAAATCCAGCAATAAAACATTGGTTTTGGTCCTCACTAAGTTCCATGTCATCTACTGGAATAATAAAACCAGATAATCCTTGTTGAGAATTTACAATAGGTGTTAATAATTCTTTATAATCTGATAATGGGACCTTTTTATCTTCCCCATTTAATTTATCAATTGTAGGTTTAATCAATCCCCAAATACTTGAACAAGTAGTTTTAAAGGTCTGTATAGTTGTAAAATATTTTACATTATCTTTACCAATAAATATATAAGAATCACCATATCTTCTATTCCGTTGTCTTAACTCACCTGTTAATTCCATTTCTATCGGTTCCACATAATGCAATAACTTTTCTTGATCAATGAAATTTAATACAGCAATAGCTTTATAATCAACTTTTTCTCCATTAAAATCAAGTTCAAATGTATCTGGATAAAATTCACTTATTGGTGATCCTTTAGACTTCATTAAATCATGGAACTGATATGGTAAACAACTTTTAGATTTAGGTGGTAACACAGACATTAATTGTTCAAATGGTCTAAATGGAATGCTTTCTTTATATTTTATTGTAAAATTATAATCAACATATTCTCCCATATCTTCAGCAAAAGGAGCATAAAGATATGGATAATACCAATCCCATGATTGACATCCTTTATAGTAATACCCAAGAACCCAATTCATTCCTTCAAAATAACTATGAACAATATCTCGAACTTTTTGAGTATCTTTCTTTGGATTTATCTTAAATTTTACATTATAATATCTTTGAATATATCCTGGTTCTCCTAACTTAAGTTCATCAGATAATTCTTTTTTTTCAAATTCTTCTCTAAGTTTTCTTTCTTCATTTTCGATTGATTTTATTTCAGCCTCTTGGATTTTGAGTTGTTCTTGTTGTTCTGGAGTAAGTGAATTAATACTTTCAGTACTTTTTAAAGTACTATTTTCATAAATATTTGCTTTCTTAAGTTCAAGATCCCTTATCTGATTATCTAATCTTCGTTTTGCATAGTTCTTTTCTTTTTTATTTCTTGTTTCGAGGATTGCTGGTTCTTCCTTACCAACTTCTCGTAAAAAGTTCTTAGCATTAGTAACATTAAGACTACCACTTTCAGTGATATATCCTCCATGTGGTAAAAATTCTCTATAAACTTTCATTAAAAGATCAACTGCTCCATCTCTAATATCTAATGATGGAATATGTGGTAAGAAATCATTTCCAACTAAGAAACAAAAGAAAATAAAATCATCAACACATCTTTCAAATTCAAATCCCTCTACTTTTAATGTAATTTGAAGATATCCTCGAAGAATATGACAATGAAGAAATTGGAATGGTTTTATAATAGTGTCTAATGCACCAACTTCTTTTCTATGTGGACATTTATCTGGAGAATGAATTCCATTACAAATGTAACATTGTTCTTGTTCAAAAAATACTTTTTCTCGAATAATACTGAAAAATCGTTCATGAGTGGCAAGAGATAACATAATAAGATCTGCATCTAATCCATACATACAATGATGAATATTTGGATTATAATCTGGTGATTCTTTTTGTCTTCTAATAAAATCCATAATTTTATGTTCTCCTTCTCCTGGTACTCCAGAATCACTTAAAATAACAACAAGTTTATTCCAATAACTAGATTGACTCATTCTTTCTTTTATATATTTCTTTAATGCTTTAGAAACTGCTGACATAAACTCTGTTCCAGGAGTAATACAATTCGAGTCTAATGGTCGTACATAAGGAATTTCAGGTAATCCATTCATTACTCTATTCCGATTCTCTTCTGCTTGTTTACGTTCATTATCATCAACTTCTTTGGCTGACTTAAATCTACGACTTCTTTGTTGGTTCATTTTTGCTCTTGGTGCAACTCCATCAACTGCAAGATACAATAACTTTCTAGGTCTAACAATGTCAATAAGGTAATCCAAATATCTACCTAACATTACCATCATATCTTCTATTGTTTCTGGTGATTGTCTATCTTGTGGATGGAAACAAGGATGAATTAATCCATTCATATCAATATAAAAATTATCATATTCAACCCCATTAAAGTTAGGTTCATTTAGGTCATTGTATTGTTCGTGGAATGACCCTTGACAACTATCAATAATTTTTGGAAATTTTTGACTTAACCACCTAAAGAATGATGGAACTCCCATTGATCTTTCAAGTTCAATTTCTTTTCTTTTTTCTCCTCTTTTATTTTGTGTTTTATATATCAAAGATAAAACCATTATCATTTCTTTCATTACGAAGAAAGAACAACCAAATCCTACTAATAACCAGCTATGTCTGTAACCCAAAACTACACCCAAAGTACAATTCGTTGACAAAAAAAAATCGAAAACATTAATAAATAGGAAAAAAGTATAACAAAAATTGAATTTTAGAAAAAGTTATTAATAAAATGATATGAAATAATAAAAAGGACAAACAAGAGATAACAAATTGTTCAACTAAAAAACAACAAAACTATTTTTTGATATTTAGTAATAAGAATATATTATATAACTTTTAAAAAATCTGTAATTTTTATTAATTAAGACATGTCATGAGAGGTGATGCATTAAATCATCTATTTGAAGTTTTTTCTTTTTACATCTTTCTCAATTATTTTTTTTAATTCTTTCTGTCTTTTCTTTTTAAATTTAATCAATAATCATAATTTTTAAAGAAATTAATAGGCATTACTATCGCAAACAATTTACAAAACATTACAATATCAGAGAATAATTTATTTTTTGTTAACCTACTTTTTTAGATAATACACATATTTCAAATGGTTTCATTAATTAACAAATTATATTTACTTAAAAAAATTTTCATTGGTTAGGTATTTCAATACATTATGTGACATTTAATATTTAAAGGTAAAATGGTATATTGATATGAACTGAAAGTTCTTTTAAAGTTATATCATAAATCGAATAACATCATTATCAATAAAATAAAAATATGAATCAGAAATATTCTTGACTAAAAGACACTTCTGTTTGCGATACAGTTATATAGATAATAAAATTTAAAATATATTATTACTTTACCTTATCTATCTTGAAAAATAATTTGTTTAGAGTTATTGTTTTCTCAAAAAATAATAAATATTGTTTTTAATTGTTCTGTGGTATCGCTCTTGTCATTGACTGTACTACCCAATTTATAAAGTGACAAAATTAAATAACTTTCATAGAACGAAAAGACTTTTCATTTTTAATGATATCTTCCACGTATTATAACTCATAACTATTTTTAATAAAAAAATTATTAAAAATAAAATGAAAAATAAAATAATAAAATTTATGAGATATAAAACAATAATATTATTTTTATTTTGTTTGATTTCGTTTTGAATGTTTAATTAATTGTTCTTTCTTTTTCTTTGGCATTTTATGTTTTAATTTCTCTCTTCTTTCAATTTTATATTGCTTTTTATGTTCTTTTCTTAATTTTTTTTCTTCTTCTTTATCAACTTTCTTTTCTTCTTTTAATTTTTTGACAAATTCTTTATATTCTTCGCTGTCCATTTCTTCTTCTTCTTCTTCTTCGTCTTCAGTAGTATCAATACTTTTATCAATTAATTCATTGTTTGTTTGTTCTATTTGTTTTTTTAATTCTTCTGCTTCTTTAGCAAGTTGTATTTCTCTAAGATCAACCAATTTCTCTGCCTCTCTCATTTCTTCTTCAAGTTGGTCTTTGTATAATTCTTTTTGTTTTTTACTCAATTTTTTCATTCGTTTTCTTTGAATTTCTTCTTTTTCTGAATCAGAAGCAGAATCATCATTTACAGTAATTTGTAATGGTGCAAGTTTAACATGATTAGGAATTGCATTTGGCATAAACAAAACACCAGTCATTTTCTTTGGTTGAAAAACATCACGAATTGGTTCATTTAAGTCATGTAAAGAACTTGGAATAAAAGAATTTAAAAAGACTTCATCATTTGGATCCCAATTAGTTCTAAAATGTTCTTTAATAATACTTTCAATTTTATTTTCTTTGATTGAAGCATTTGTTATAGTATAAAAAAGTTCTTTAGGAGATAATGTATGTATTCCAATCTTATTAAAATATGTTGAAATATTAACACAATCCATTCTCAAAAAATCATTTGATTGAGGATGTGATAATTCAATAGATTGTCCTACATCAATTACATATACTTTATTCTTCCACCAAAGAAGATTATATTCACTTAAATCGGCATGAACCATATTACAATCATGATAAAGTTGATGCATCATCCATACTACTTGTCTATATGCTTCATTTTTTTCATCATCATTTAATCCTGCATCTTTAAGTCTTGGTGCAGCACATCCATCATGACCAAGAAATTCCATAATTAAAACATTATTTTTAACTATAATAACTTTAGGTGATGGAATTCCTGCTGTATTTAATCGTTTTAAATTTCTCATTTCTTTTTCTGCCCACATTTTAACCATTTTTCTTGGATTTGATTTACAAAATCCTTTTCTATATCTATAATCTCCTGTAACATATCTTTCTCTATCTTTAAATATTAATATTGATGTTTTAAATATTTTTACTGCTAATTCAATTTCTTGTCCAAATGCATGATATACATTAGCTTCTTTACCTGTTGATACTGTACCATGTAATTCTTTTATTATTCCATTTTTAATAAATTTAGATAATACTACACGAGTACGATGATCAAGTACTTGGTCATTTGTTGCTCTATCTGATCGGTCTTTTATTCTAGTAGATGCATCTGGAATATAATTTTCATATTGTTCCATTATGAATTATAACAGAATGATTGTTTGTTTTTAAGCTCATTAAAAAAGTAAAAGGGTTCTTTTCTTTAAAAAAAAAAAACAAAAAAAAAGGATTTTATTTCACTTTATAATCTCTTATAATATAATTGAAAGATTAAAGATATTCAACCCTAAAATTTTTTCTTTCTTTTTTGTTTTTAGAACTTTTGTTCTAAATAACAATTAAAATAAAGATGAATGAAGAAAAACCAAAGAAGGTTGTTATTATTAATGGAGTGATTTATGATCAAAGTGAAATTGAACAAAATCAATCTCAACCTATTTTATTTGAAGAAACTAATAAAGTTTATTGTGCAAATTTTACATTTAACATTTATATATTATATTTATTAATTATGATATTAAATATTTTATTTTTTGGTTGGGTAGGAATTTGTATTGGATTGGTTATGTGTTTAATTTGTGGAATTTATTTTTCATAATGTAGTTTCTTTAATTGTTTTTATTGTTTTTCTTTTGGACTTTCTCTTTTAATTCCTAAAAAGAAATATAAAAACTCAACTAAAATTATTCAAATGCTTCAATTCATTCAAAAACGACAATCTTTCCAACATTTTCATATTCCTCATATTCTTTCTATTTATTCATTAAGACAATTAGATACATCAGAATTTTTAAAAGATGGAGGTGTTTTATTAGGATTTGATTTAACAGCAACTCAATTAAGTTTGTTTTTTTTTTATTATTTTAATATTATTCAATTGATTTTTTATATTTAGTTGGTTATAACTGTTTACCATTACCATCACCAATAAATCCATCATTAATTAATTATCATTTCAATATTATAATATCTTCCTTTTTTCCTCCACATCCTTTACATTTCTTTTCACTTCCAATTCTTCCTTCAATCATTCACACTCCTTCTCTACCAATACAAATTATTACTTCATTAAATAGATATCTTATTTATCATTTCTCTTCTAATACTCTTCATCTAACTATACTAACACCAAATGCTCAATCTATTCCTTGTCATTTTGTTGTTCATTCTATTTCACAACCATTTTCTTTTCTTCAATCTAAGAATACTATCACTTTAATTACTTCAACACATATTCTTACTATCTTTTTAAAAGGAATATCATTAAAATATGATCAACAAATCAATGGTAATCATAATATACTTTCTATTGATTTAAATTTACTTAAAACAATTATAAATGTAAATGGATTACAATTTAATAACCAATCTATTCATAAAATTACTCACACAACTTCATTACCAAAACATATTATTTTACCATTTGTTTGTAATTATTCTCTTTTTAATAATTTTTTAAATAACTATCTCATCTATTTTAGTTTACAACAAAGATTTCATATCAAACAATAAGTCTTGAAGGAAATTCAATTAAAGAATATATTCTTTTACGTTTGTTTCTATTTTATATCATTTTATAAATTATATTTTATTTATTTGAATAGAACAATCAAATAATATACAATCATTTTCTGAAACAAAATATAAAACATATCAAGAAGCAAAAAAGGAATGTAAATTAAAAATAATTAAACATTATCAAAATGAAAAATTAATTCATCCAAAACGTTATGAATGTGTTTTATCCAATGCATCAACTTTTTCTGAAAATACTATCTCATACCTTAAACATAAAAATGGAACGATTTTAACTTTTTAATTGAATATTTTATTTCTTTAAGTTAAATTATAAGAGAATTAAAATGAGAAGATTACAAATTAGAATCTTATTGTTTTTATTTTAAAATTGCTTCATTAGAATTACATACTTTCCAGACTCTTATCATTTCATCAGATCCAATAGTTGCAGCAATACCATGATTATTCATTGCAATAGATAATATTCTACCATCATGTCCATCAAATTCTCCTGTTTTATTCCAATGTTGTGTATCATAAAAAGTAATAGTATTAAAAGGATATCCATGAGTAACCATTAATTCTTCATCACACCAAACAATTCCTGTAACTTGAGAATGTGTTTTAATTTCATTTATTAATTGGTTATTATTAATATTCATTAATTTAATTGTTCTATCAGAAGAACCACCACCTGTAGCAATTATATTATCATTTATAGGATCAAATTTAATTGCTTTCACTGCAGCATTATGGTAATAACTTAAAAATGGTTTTATCATTCTTAAATCTGAAAGAATAACTGAATTGTCATTTGCACCTGTTCCAATATATGTTCCAGATCCATTAAAATCAATTCCACAAACTTCTCCTTTATGATATACTAACTCAGAACATACAATATCTTCACATCTTGTATCAAATAATTGAACTGTATTATCTCTACTTCCTGTTGCTAATGTACAACAATTCTTAGCTAATGAATTAATTCTATCAGTATGCATTTGTCTTTCCATTATTAATCTTTGTGTCATTAAATCAATTACCCTTATTACACCAAATACATCTCCAAATATTACTGTTGTATCATCCATAAATAAAACTGATGATATATATGTATTTAGTTCAATGTCATTTGAACATTTATATATTTCATTTGCTTCTCCACTTTCTGAATTCCAAATATATAACACATCAGTTAATGCAACTAATAACTCATGTTGTGTGTTCCAATGAATGATATTCAAATAAAAATCATCTATTACACCTGGAACATCCAAATAAAGGTATGGAGTTAATGGCTCATGTCTTTTGTATTTTACTTCACTTGGTTTCTCTCCTTCAACAAATGAATTTAGTAATGAGAGATAAGATTGACAAACACAAGCCATTTATCAATAAAAGTTTTTTTTTATTTTCTTTTTGTATAGTTTTAGTTATTATAAAATTTATCAATTAAAAATACTTTTTGATTATCTCAATTCATATCTTTTATTATTCTAAAAATTCATCTTTAGATTAATACTATTAACCTCATTACTTTAATTCTAACTATTTGTTTATTTAAAATATCTATTATCTATTTTAATTCATCCATAAATTAAATTATTTAAAATATAATCTATTATATTACATTAAATAAAACAAGTACCTCATTCCTTTAATGATTATCAATTCTATATTAAGTAAAATATAATGAAAACTATTTGTTTATACTTTAAATATTCTTTTATTCATTTTTACCAAAACATAATAATAACTTGTTTCTTAACAATTATATGTGAATATAAAATTAATAAAAAGAAGTAGTAAAATTCTTGTTTATTTCATAAAAAGAGTTGAGATGTTAAATATTATTTAAGATTACAATTAATCAAAAGTACTTTGAATTTCTTTTTAATTGATATTTAAATGAAAAAAAAGTATTCATCAAAAGGTTGTTTTATTTTATTGTCTCTGTTTTATTATATAATTTGATATTAGTGTTTATCTGATTATAGTATTCTTATTGAATTATTTTGTTTATATTCAATATTATGGTTCTTTGATGATTTTTATTCAGATAGATTAATTATTGTTGAACCATTCTTATAAAGTTCTGTGTTATTATTTCATAGTTTAACTATGTTGAATTTATTTTGTTCTATTATTACTACAAAATAATATTTTTATGATAGGGAAATGAAACACTCTTTAATCATTCACTACTTGATTTGATTTTTTATTGATTTCAGATTCTAATTGTGATAGAATCAAGTACTTTCTGATAATAATCATATCTTTCATTTGATTTAGAACAATGGATAGACTTTATCTACTGAAAAAATATTTAATTATATAATAGAAAGATAAGAATTAGATATTTTGAAATGAATCACGTTTATTGAATTGTAGATGATGACTCTGAAACAGTTGATTGAAAGAAATCTAATGAATTGCTACTCAATGATAAATTCTCAACCTTATATTATAAAACTACCTTTTAGAATTACTTCAATGAACAAAATCATCATAATATCAACAATTTGATTATTCACAAAATTAATTTATTAGAAAAGCACACACTCTGTTTTATACTAGGATTAATGTAAAGATAATATGATAGAGAAAATCATCTATTTTTATTAGGACTGATTTATATCTATTTGCCTATTATTCATTTCAATTCAAAAAAAAAGAATGATGACAGAGTGTGTTGGTTTGTGATTCTAACATAATGAAGTTCTATTAATGAAATTAGAAAAAGTAATACTCAAAGTCATTGGTTGTTATTAAAGATTTTAATAAAATCAATCAATGAGAAAATGATTCATAATTAAATATATTTGAGTATAGTGTTTGTTTTAAATAGAAGAAGAAATAACAAAAATAATGTCTAGTTATTGATCAGAAAATTATGAAACATTTTCATTACTTACAAATGTTATTTTATCCAAAGAATTGTCACTTTATTTCTTCCAAGTTTTATTTAGTTGTGGTGTTGGTGTTTATCCTTTATTGTGTTAAAATTTTACAAGACATTACCTATGGTATGAACAAGTAATTTTGTTGTTTACTAAAAGAGAATTTTGTAATGAAAGAGAGAAACATTTTTTGTTTGAAAAGAAAGAAAAAATTCTCACAAATTCCTTTATTTTTTACAGAAACTAAAAAAAATTATTGTTAAGAATCTACAAAGAATTACAAAACATATAAAATGAACCAAATACTATTGCTTTGTTATGCAGTAATAAGTTTTCATTATGTGATTTATTAGTGAAGAGAAGTCTTTTCTGAACCAGTGTTGAAGAGTGTTTTTTTTCTTCTCCTTCTTACTAAACTATTTAAAACTAAATTCATTTTAATCTAATTTTTCTTTTTTTTTTTAATTTAAATAAGATTTTTCGTGAATAAAGATTTTTCTTAAGACACTTATATTCATTATTCTCTATTTGTGAAAATGGTGTCGTGTTAACCAAATATATTTAATGCACAAACAAAATAAAAGAGAATAATAAAATTAATATTAATTTATTAAAACTATAAGAAATTGCGTATGAACAAAAAGAAAGAGTAAAGAAGATTAAAGAAAAGCAAAAAAATAAGGGAAAAAAGGAAGTTTAAAAAAAAATGTTAAAAAAAAAAAGAAAACTAGAAATTTCATAATAAGAATCAGATGTCAACACCACCAGTAGATCTTACTCTTGAAGATATTCAACTTAATGATGGCTATGATATTGACAAAATTATGGACCAATTTAAAAAAGAAGGAAAATTAGAAAAAAAAGCAGTATCAGATATTCTTAAAAGAGCAGCCAAATTACTTGCTTCAGAACCAAACCTTATTGAAATTGAAGCACCTTGTGTTATTTTCGGTGACCTTCATGGACAATTCTATGATTTAGCAAATATTTTACTTGACTATCCTCAACCAAGTGAAACACATATGTTATTCTTAGGTGATTATGTAGATAGAGGTTACTTTGGAAGTGAAAATGTTTTACTTCTTATGGCAATGAAAGTTACATACCCACAAAGAATGCATTTGTTACGAGGTAATCATGAGTGTAGATTATTAACTACGTACTTTAATTTTAGACAAGAGTGTAGTTTTAAATATGGAGATCATATTTATAATGAAGTTATGAAAACATTTGACTGTCTTCCAATTTGTGCATTATTACATAGTGAATTAGGTAAATTTTTCTGTGTTCATGGAGGTATTTCACCTAATCTTAATTCACTTCAAGATATTAATAAATTTAATAGATTTAGAGAACCACCAGGAGCTGGTTTATTCTGTGATTTATTATGGTCTGATCCTATTGATGAAAGTATTTATTCTAAATTAACAGATAAACAAAAAGAAGAATGGCAACATATTACCTTCACAGAAAACAAAGTTCGTGGATGTTCATATTGTTATGGATTTCAAGGAGTTGATGAATTCTTAAAAAAGAATGAAATTACTTCAATTATTCGAGCTCATGAAGTTCAAAAAGAGGGATGTAACTTACATTATTTCAATAGAGATGATATAACACATCCATTAGTTATGACATTATTTACTTCACCAAATTATTGTGATGTTTATGATAATGATGGTGCTGTATTAGTGTTATTAGACAATGAATTAAGTTTCTTATCATATAATGCAGTACCACATCCATTTTGGTTACCTAAATTTCAAAATGGTATTAGTTATTCATTACCGATATTTTGTGATACTCTCAACGCAGTTGCAAAGAAAGTATATGCTTTTTCATTATATTCTGATTTTGTTGATGAAGACGATGATAAACCAATTAAATTTGCATTACAAGATGAACCACAAAAGAAAGAAATTAAAGCACCTATTGTAATTAATAAACCAATTGAAAAACCTAAAAAAGGTATTTCAGTTGAAGACTTTTTACAACCATTAGATCTTAATTTAACTGAAAATGATAATAACTCATTTAGAAAAGCTGCAAGCAGAAGTAGATCATTTGTAGATAGATTACCTTCTGGTATTGTTCAAAGAAAGAGGCCAGAAAATAGACCTCGATGTTGTACATTCTCTATGAAGGGACAATTTAATTCTACATTCGATAGATTCTCTTTTACAAGTTTGTTTTATGTTATATTTCAAATTATACTTCCTTAATACTCATTCTTTTTTTAGTTACTGCCTCTCCAAGATTTGAAGATGCTAAAACTAAAGATGCTGAAAATGAAAAACGTCCAGCTGAACTTGAAGATTTAAAGAAACAATGGGGAATAGATGATAATTGAATATACTCAAACTCTTCTTATTTATTGTTTAAAAAAAAATTAAAATTAATTATTTGTTAATTGACATTTGTTAGGTGATTTACAACAATAACAAACAGCATTCATACATGAGATAGTTAATTGTAGTTCTATATGATGTTTACTATGACATATTTCTGCACAAGAAGAACATATAAATTTTACATTACAATCAAAACAATGATAAAAAGTTTCTGTCATTCCTTTAATAAACCTATAACGTAGACACTTTTTTTTTTCTTGAACCTTTGAATTGATTTGAATGTTTATTGATTCTATATTAGATTTTAATATCATTGGTAGATGATTCGATTTAATAGTTATTATAAATCTATTTTCTTCAAATATTAAATCATTTTTAACCACTTTTTCTAAATCACATGGGACATTAACTAATTCAGCCCGTTCCATTTTTGTTTCTTCATTAATAACACTCTTTACACTAATTAATTGTTTTTTTATTAAATCATTTTCTTTAGAATCTCCTTTTTGATTTAAGGTTTGTTTTAAATCAATTCCTTTTCTTGACTCATCAATAAAACTTACTAATGAATCAAACTGATAAAATCTGTAATATTCCCCCTTTCTCAATACTGAACTACAATATGGACATTTCTCATTAAAATTTAATGCACAATCTAAACACTTCTTACAAAATGCATGTCCACATTTGGTCACACAACATTCATTAATATTTGAAAGACAAATGGCACATGTTATTTGAGGAATAATCTTATCAAATTCCATGTTAAAATGAATATAAAGATACTATTTTTTGATTATAAATTAAATATTTTAAAATGTATTATAACTTTATGTTATAAATAACGATTTTTTATTATAAAGTTCATAAAGCAAATTATGTTTTAGGGTGTGTTGAAGGAGAATATTATAAAGTAGTTGAAAGAAATTCGCCATTTGCTATACAAGAGCGATGTTCAAATATTAAAGTTGAAGTTTAATTGAATTATTGGGTTTTAAAAATAGAAAGAGAGAAGACAATTGAAAATAGTTTTTCAAATAAAGAGTCAAAAGAACTTTAAGAAAGAGATGAAGTCAAAAAGAACGAAAGAAATAAGAAAAGAAGACAATTCAAAGAATAAAGTGATAGTAAAGATATTATAAGAATATAGTTTTTGTAAAAAGAAAGGGAAAGTGTAGTTTTAGAAATTGCATCAGGGTTATGTAGAAGAATAACATGAGTTGAGATAATTGAGAAAGCATCTAAAGGGTTTAAAAAGAATACTTAAAGAGAAGAAAAAAAGGATAAGTTCAAACAATTGATGGATACATTAAGTTGGAATCATTCAGATAAAGTTCCAATGTATAAAGAAGTTAAAGAAGAAAGTCCATTTAAAATATTAAAAGAATGGGTTCAATTAGGAAATAAAATTGTGATATTTAATTCAGAACAACATGAAATGATGCCACATGGATTATGGAATAAAGTTTCAGGAAGGAAGAATATTATGTTTATTGTTATTAGTGAATATGGAGATATTTTTGGTTCATTCCATGGTGTAGTACCAACAAAACAAGGAGAATGGGTTTGGGAAGATAGTCAACAATTTATTTTTACTATGAAGAATCAGTATGGAGTAAACCCAATTCAATTTAAACCTAAAACAATGACACATTCATTGTTACGGATTTCAGGTAAAAATAATACAAAAAAAATGTTTTGGATTTCAGATGGATATAGAGTTAATGGAGATGGGAAAGGATATATTAGTAATTCTTTTAGTAGATTTTATAATGATAGTACAAAAATAGGACCATTAATATTTACTAATAGTGTTTATCCGAATACTTTTAGTATAAGGTCATTTTTTGTGATTCAATGGTATTAAATAAAAAAAAAAATAGAATAAAAATAGTAAATAGGATTAATTGAATTATAAGTAGTATTAATTTAATTTAAGATCATTAAGAATGGTTATAATAGTTTGTATTCCAATAAGATAACCATCAGTAATTTCATATTTATGATTTTTATCTTTCCAATGAGCAAAATCAATCATTTTAAAATCAATAGTTGAGAGAGGATCATCATAATCATAAAATAAGAAAAGAGAAGAAGAAATAATTTGATATCCTTCTTTTTCATAAATTTCTTTTAAATGATTTAATTTAATAAGAAGTTTATCAATCATATTATCAATAATTGAATGATTAATTATTGGATTAGTATGTAAATCATTAACAATATTATCTAAATCATTAAGAGTAAAGAAAGAATTTGAAAATTTAAATTTTTCATATTGATTAATACAACCATGTGATGATAAAAAAACTTTTATCATTTGTTTTAATGATTCATAAGTATGCATTTGTAACATAATATATTTATCATGTTGTATAAACATATTAATATCTTTATTAAAAACACGCATTCCACAAAAACGAAGACCATATTGAGTAGAAGTAGTATTAATATCATAATTTTTTTTTGATTGTATTTTTTCAGGAGAAGAATCTTCAAACCAAGTTCTACAACCCATTTTTAAATCAAGAATACAAGGATGTTTCATTCCATAAATAACATTTTGCATTTTAAAGTAAGTAAAATAACCAAATCCAAGATCAATATTTTCTTTACCATAATATTTAGGTAAAAATTGAGATAAAGGAGAATGTTGTATTTGTTCATAAAAATTAGCTTCTTGTTCAGTATTAGGTTTATATAAAAATTCACCAATTGGAACAAGTTGAGCTTTTCCTTTATGACCACCAACTTGAAAATCAGACATTTACAAAAATAAATAAATAGTTTTAATAAGAGAATAAATAACAAAAAAGAATATAAAGAATAAAAAGAAAAACGAGAAATAAAAGAATGAGATTTTTAATTTGTGATTGAAAATTTCATATAGTAATTATAATAATAATTAACATAAAAAAAAAAGATAAAGAGATTAAATAATGAAAAAGATAAATTATAGAAAAGAAGAAGAAGAAAAGAGTAAAGAAGAGAGTATAAGAAATAGAATCATATAAAGTAAAATAAAAGAACTAGAAAAAGAAATAAAGAAAGATAAAAATCAAAAAAAAAAAAAAAATAAAAGTTCAATAAAGTTCAAAAGATGTTCAAGAATTTATTCATATCGAGTGAGAAGTAAATTCGATTTGTTCTGGAGACAGATGGAACCACGCATACAAAAGAAAGAAATAGAGGAAAAGAATAAGAATATAGATAAGAAATAAGGAAAAGAGGAAGAATAGAGAAAAAAGAAGAAATATCGAAGAAAAGAACCACGTCATAAGTAAACCCTGGGAATATTAAAAGGAAGAAATTGAAAAAAGAGATCATTTAATAATAATGCAATCAGTTGATGGAAATCAAGCAGCTGCTTATGTATCATATGCACTTAGTGATGTATCATTTATTTTCCCAATTACACCATCATCACCAATGGCAGAAAATGCAGATGTATGGGCATCACAAGGAAGAAAGAATGTTTTTGGACAAGTAGTTGATGTATATGAAATGGAAAGTGAAGCAGGAGCATCAGGAGCAGTTCATGGAGGATGTGCAGCAGGATCACTTGTATCTACATATACATGTTCACAAGGACTTATGTTAATGATTCCAAATATGATTAAAATTGCAGGAGAACATCTTCCATGTGTATTCCATGTAACAGCAAGAGCACTTGCAGGACAAGCACTTTCAATTTTTGGAGATCATTCAGATGTTATGGCATGTAGATCAACAGGATTTTGTTTATTATCATCACATAATGTACAACAATGTCATGATCTTGCAATTGTTGCACATCTTTCAGCACTTGAAGCATCACTTCCATTTATGCATTTCTTTGATGGATTTAGAACATCACATGAAATTCAAAAGATTCATCAATTAACATATGAAGAAATTAAGAGTCTTGTTGATATGAAATATGTTGATAGAGCACATAAAAGAGGACTTAATCCAACACATCCAAGTCAAAGAGGAACATCACAAGGACCAGATGTATTTTTCCAAGCAGTTGAAAAATCTAATTTAGATTATCTTAAAGTACCAGAAATTGTACAAAAATATATGGATAAAGTTGGAGAATTAACAGGAAGACATTATAAAATTATTGAATATTATGGAGCAAAAGATGCGGAAAGAGTAGTTGTTGTTATGGGAGCAGCAGTACCAGTTCTTGAAGAATGTGTTGATTATCTTATGAAAAAAGGAGAGAAGGTAGGAATTATTTCAGTTCATTTATATAGACCATGGAGTGCCAAACATTTCCTTGGAGAAATTCCAAATACTGTTACAAAGATTTCAGTTCTTGATAGAACTAAAGAAGCAGGATCATTTGGAGAACCATTATATCTTGATGTTGCAACTACACTTCTTGATGCAGGAAAACATATTAAATGTGTTGGAGGAAGATATGGACTTGGATCTAAAGAATTTACACCAGCTATGGCAAAAGCAGTTTTTGATAATCTTAAACTTGAAGAACCAAAGAATCATTTTACAGTTGGTATTGAAGATGATGTTACAAATATGTCACTTGCAATTGGAGAAAATTTCAATCCAATTCCAGAAGGAACTACACAATGTATGTTCTGGGGACTTGGATCAGATGGAACAGTTGGAGCTAATCATGATGCTATTAGAATTATTGGACAAAATACAGATATGTATGTACAAGGATATTTCTCATATGATGCACATAAATCAGGAGGAGTTACAGTTTCACATCTTAGATTTGGAGAAAAACCAATTAAATCACAATATCTTATTCAAAATGCAGATTATACAGCATGTCATTTCCCTAATTATGTTAAGAAATATAAATTACTTGAAGCAGCTAAACCAAATTCAGTTTTTGTTCTTAATTGTCCATGGACAGGAGCAGAATTAGAAGCACAACTTCCAGGATCACTTAAAAGAGTAATTGCAGAAAAACATATTAAATTTTATACTATTGATGCTATTAAAATTGGACAAGAAGTAAAACTTGGAAGAAGAATTAATATGATTATGCAAACTGTTTTCTTTAAACTTGCTAATGTTATTCCATTTGAAAAAGCTATTGTTCTTCTTAAAGAAGCAGTTCAAAAAACATATGGAGCAAAAGGACCAGCTATTGTTAAAATGAATCATGATGCTATTGATAAATCACTTGATGGACTTATTGAAGTTAAAGTACCAGCAGAATGGGCTAATGCACCAATAGAAACAATTAATAAAATTGAAGCACCAGAATTTGTTACAGATGTACTTATGCCACAACTTGCAATGAAAGGAAATGAACTTCCAGTATCTAAATTTGCAGCTGATGGATTTATGCCAATGGGAACAACTAAATATGAAAAGAGAGGAATTGCAACTAAAATTCCAACATGGGAAGCATCAAAATGTGTCCAATGTAATATGTGTTCACTTTATTGTCCACATGCTGCTATTAGATGTTTCTATTTAACACCAGAAGAAACAGGTAAAGCACCAGCAGAATTTGTACAAATTGATGGAAAAGGACAACAAGCAGGATATAAATTTAGAATTCAAGTATCAGCTATGGATTGTACAGGATGTGAAGTTTGTACTACAGCATGTCCAGTTAAATGTTTAACTATGACACCATTTGAACAAGTTTCAGAAGTTGAAACAAAGAATTGGGACTTTGCTATGACTCTTTCAGCAAAGAATTCACTTTCAGATAGAGCTAATATTAAGACAACTATGATTCATCAACCATATCTTGAATTCTCAGGAGCATGTGAAGGATGTAATGAAACTGCTCTTGTTAAATTAATTACACAATTATATGGAGAAAGAACAGTTATTGCTAATGCTACAGGATGTTCATCAATTTGGGGAGCTACATGGGGAACTAATCCATATACAGTTGATGGAGAAGGAAGAGGACCAGCTTGGGGTAATTCATTATTTGAAGATAATGCAGAATATGGATTTGGTATGTTTAAAGCTAATGAACAAAGAAGACTTTATCTTGAACAAATTTGTAAAGAAGCTATTGCTGAAGGAAAATTATCTAATGAACTTAAAACTCATCTTGAAGAATGGATTGCTAAAAAAGAAGATGCTACTGAATCAGAAAAAATATATGCAGCTGTTAAACCATTATTAGCAGTTGAAAAAGATAAATCAGAAGTACTTGGACTTATTGAACAAAATAGTGATATGTTTATTAAGATTTCACATTGGATTGTTGGAGGAGATGGATGGGCTTATGATATTGGATATAATGGAGTTGATCATGTTCTTGCATCTGGACATAATGTTAATATTCTTGTTCTTGATACAGAAATGTATTCAAATACTGGAGGACAAAAATCAAAAGCTACAAATCTTGGAGCTGTAGTTAAATTTGCATCATCAGGATGTAAGAGACCAAAGAAAGATCTTGGAGCTATTGCTATGGCTTATGGTGATGTTTATGTAGCATCAATTTCACTTGGAGCTAATCCAGCACAAGCATTTAAAGCATTTAAAGAAGCTGAATCATATAATGGAGTTTCTCTTATTATTGCTTATTGTCCATGTAAAGAACAAGGTGTTCCATTACAAAAATCAATTGAAGAAGCTAAAATGGCTGTTAATAGTGGTTATTGGTCATTATATAGATATGATCCAAGATTAGTTGCTCAAGGAAAACCAGGATTACAACTTGATTGTAGTGAAATTAAAGGTGATCTCGAAGCATTCCTTGCTCGTGAAAACAGATTTGCACTTCTTGGAAGAAAGGATAAGGAAACTGCTGATAAGCTTCATGCTCAATTGAAAGCTAATATTGATAAGAAACTTGCCCATCTTAAGGTTGTTTCTAAACAAGAAGCTTAAAATAAGTTAAATTTCTTCTTATTTTATTTTTTTTTTTTTTATTATATTTATTTTCTTTATTTATTTGTTGTTATTTCCTTTCATTTTGTTGTTAAAAGTATTCTTTTTATTTACTTCTTCTCATCTTCAGACATTCTGTGTCTATTCTTAAAATAATCCCTATTCTGATTCAAATTATAAAATATCATTTTCATTACCAAATTAGTTATTTACAATATTGTGTGGTTATTAAACAACATTCAAAACCAGTCCAATTTAGAAAAATTACATTCAAAAGAGAGTTCTATCCTCTACAGTAATAACTTTCCAATAATTATTAACAAACCTAGATGACTATCTATTTAATTCTTCACTAATTAAACTATTCTATATCCCAAATCTTTTTGTTGAAATAGACAATAAATGTTTTTATAACTGTTATTCCTTCTTTTCTATCACCCTTTCTTCAAATCTTACTAGAATTGGAATTGGTGGTTTTAAATCTTGTAATCATTTATAATTAATTCAATTGCCTCAATTTCTTTCTTATGGTATTCAAAATACATTCTTTAATTGTTTTTCTCTAACTGAAATAAATTATCCCCTTTATTTAAACCAAATTGATGTTATCCTTTTCTTGGTTATGATTTCAAACTCCTCTTTATCTTCAACATTAGTTAAATTTGGAGTTGGTTGTTATTACCAAGATCCTTAACATCACTTATCATTCTAGAACTATTTCTTCTCTGAAAACTATTTGTTTTAATAAAAATGTTCAATTACTCAAGTATCTCTTTCTGATTCTATAACAGAACCAGAAGATACAATCTTTGAATCTTGTGAGAATTTACAATTAATTCACCTTTCTTCAAAGTTATCAAAAATTGAAAATATTTGTTTCCATAAATACAAATCATTTATTTTACTTCATTGCTTTGACCATAGAATTGGAGACTGGTGTTGTTTTAGTTGCAAAGACACTTCTTTACTCGATTTGAATTTTACTTCTTTATCTCATTAGGATAAAATCCATTCTCAAATACTCCACTCAGTCTGTTGTTTTACCTTCAACACTATTATTCCTTTCTTCTTCGTTTGTATTTTACACTTCTCTAACAAATATCCATTATCATCTTCAATCAAAAATGATCAGGTTCTTTTAATGGTTGTCTTAGTCTCAAAGAAATCATTCTTCCTCAATGCATCACCTCTCTTTATGAAGAAATGTTACAAATTGTTATCATATCAAATCACTTCTACTACCATCTTCATTGGTAGAACTCCCAAGTTATTGCTTCTTTGGTATGAAAATCTCATTATCATCCACAGTAACACGTTTGGATTATATTGGTTCAAAGATTGTGGACATCTTACTCAAATACAAATACCAAGAAACATAAATTGTATTGATGCTTATTATTTTGCAAATTGTATTTTCTTAGAGAGAAGGTATTGTTTTATAATAGAAAGAGATTGTTGTTTCTTGTTTTGATTAGAATTAGAAAAGTCCATCTTCTAACATCACTAACATATTGGACGTGATTCATTTACAAGTTGTGTCCAATTAAATATGACTATTGGAAGAATTGATCTCTGTTTTGTCAATCAACACTTTTTTTTTAACACATATATTCCACACAACTTAATCTCTTATCACAAAATATTTATTTCATAGTTTGTAAGGTTTTTTTGTTGTGTCTTTCATTCTTCTTAATAAACGAGTTGTGAATAATATCAATTCATTTTAATTCTAATCCAAGTTTCATATCTTTACACCTCCGTGTCATACATAAAATAAACAAATATACATTCAATTGAACATATTACATTTGACCAAACTCTGTAAATGTTAAAAAAAAATAACTTAAACCTTTATTACTAAAAATGGATCATACAATTATGGAAAATAGTTAATTGATTTAAAATGAATACTATCTGTTTAATGAAACCTACTACATAATATCATACAACACTAAACAATCTATTACTACGTAAATTAATACTTAAATGAAAATATAATTTAATATTGAGTATTTTATATAAGATAAAATTGAAATCATTATCTAATCAACATATTTTAATAATAAATATTTTGATATAATCAAAACAATGACTATTTCTAAATAATAGAAATGTTACCGATCTATAATATCCATAATTCTTCTTAATAATCTGTTGTGTCTAATTTCTCAATACAAAATAAAATTATCGTAAGAGGAAATAATAGAAAAATAAAACAAAAGATGAAATTACAATAATAAAAGTTATCATAGAATGAAAGATTTCCTTGTCATGACTATTTGAACATTTCTAAATTTATTCATGGACATCGAACTACAAAAATATTAACAATTTGGTAGAGTATTAAATGTAAAAATATTTTATTCTTTTCATCAACCTTTAAATATTAATAATGAACTTGTTGATGTTAAAATAACAAAAAATTTAATCATAAAACAAGTTTTAATAACTGATTAAATAAATTAGATTTTTATTTATGTTCTTAGTATTCTGATTGACTCGTTGATTAACTGTAAAGAGATTATAACTATAGACCATTTACAGTTAATTAATAAAAGTATATAACATTTATCTACTACATTCTTTAAGGCTTAGATAACTTGTTTATTATCATTTCATTATGAATGTATTTGCTTGTCAAAATGAGAGACAATAAAACCTTTTAATACTCTATTGAAAACATTCACAACTTTCATTATTTAACTTTTAGACATAATAAACAAAATACAAATTATCTAGTACAACCAACATAAATCAAATATCAAAAAGAAATAATTGAAAATGACCCTTATTGAAATATTTCATTATCCATAAAATTAAATACCCTTTTGAAATTTACCTTGTCAACTACTTTAAAGTGTATGTCTTAAATTAATATGATAGAAAAATAACTTTTTAATGAACTTGAAACTAAGACTCAAACATTTGTTTTAAATTCTCTCAACTGTGTAACAAATTCTCAAGTTAAGGCTCTAAGGTAAGTTAAATGGACAATGGCTTGATTTATGGCATGAACCAACTCCTGTCGAAACCAATTATAATCAATTTCATTTGACACAACTATGTTGGTACTTGATTTAACTTCCTACAGGCGTTCAGACTTCAATAAAAAACAAAGATAAGAACACATCACTAGTTTATTTCTTAAAAGCAATTTTTTCATATTGTTTTACTTTAGAAATTATATAGTTTGTGTAAAAATCAACTTAAAGTCTTTCTAAAAGTTAAAATTATATAATCATTGTGTTTGAAGGTCGATGAAATTATTTGGTATTGACTCACTCTTTATTAAAAAACATTTACAAAAACAATGTTCTTCAAATACAATTCCCTTTGGAAGTTCTACTTTTTCTAATGAACTACATCCATCGAAACAACAATATGGTATTAATGTAATAGATGATGGAACACTAACACTTTTTAAAGAAGTACAATCCTTAAAACTAAATTTTCCTAATCTTTTGATATGCTTTGGAATTATTAATTTATGCATGTCTTTGTTCTCTTTGAAGCAACAATCATCAATCCTTTTGACACATTCATCATTCATAATATTACTTCCAAATATTTTAATATCATCATTTTGAAGTACGACATTAGAACATAATATTCCAATATTCTCAAATTGTTTCATTTGTTGATAGTTCACTTCATAAGGGTACTCTTTAATATTTATTCCACCAATGTTAATAAAATCAAGAGAAACACATTTACCAAATGCATCAAATCCAATTTTGATATTATTATTATTAATGAAGATTTCTTTTAAACTGATACATCCATAAAATGCCCCGTCTTCTATTATTTTTATATTAGATGGAATAGATAAAGATGTTAATGATTCACACCATTTAAAAGCAAACATTCCAATTGAGGTACAATGTTTTGGAATATTAATTTGGCTTAGTGAATAGCACCTAAAGAAACAACAGTTTGGTATTTCTTTAATCTCATCACTTAATTTAACTGTTCTTAAATAAAAGAATGAGTGAAATTCAAATGGGTTAATTGGCTCATTAATATTTAGTGATTTATAAGAATGAAGGTTATCTTCAAAAACTAAATCTTCTTTTTCATTTATTGTAAGCCTTTTTCCATATTTTAATTCATCATCTTCATTCCATTTAACGTTCGGAAGAAAAACTCCTCGTGCTCTCATTCTAAGAAAAGAGTCATAACTAACGACCATATCACTCAAACTTCCATCGATAAGATTAACTTTTTCTAAAGAAGTCATAGAATCTAAGATCCATTGAGATGATAAGATAGTATTCTTATACAAAGATAACTCCTTTAGATTACGAAGGGTGGATAAACCATAAGGTACAAATGATGTCACAGTAGAAGGAATTGTTAAAGAAGTTAATTGACTATTAAGGAATGAAATATTATTGAAATAAATCACATTTGGAGGTATTTCATTTAATTGAAGTGAAGGAAGAAAGCCATAAATTAAAACTGAACAATTAGTAGGTATTTGTGTTAATGAAGATTCTTTAGAACCTAATACAACCTTATTTGTTTTAATATTATTTTTAATATACCTAGTATATTCTTCATAAGTTATTTCATTTTCTACAATAAAGTCTTTATTTTCAAAAGTAATTTGTTTTAAGGCTTGACAATCTTCTAGTACATATGAACCATAATTTTGAACAGAAGATGGAATAAATAAAGACTCTAATAATTTACATGAATAGAATGAATGGTCTTCTATTCTAGTTACCGAATTAGGAATATGTATTTCTTTAATAGAACAACAAGAAAAAGAATCTTTATGAATGATCTTTAAAGTTGATGGTAACACTATTCTAGTAACATTTTTAAAATCTAAAATAGTTATTAACCTATCATCTGATAAAGAAGAAAATACCAATTCTTTAATATTAGCAAATAAACATTCTGTTCGAAAAGAAGTAATTGATGAAGAAAGATAAAAAGAAGTAATATTTGATGGTATATCTATTCTTAATTCTTCAATTCTCTCAGTATTATTATCAAATATCATTGAATTAATATTTTGATTGAAATGGAATGAATGTATTTTTGCCTTAGATGAAATATGATTATTCTTAAGAATATCATTTTCATGGTCATTAGTTGCTGATGGGTAAATATTATTTATCAGTGGAAGTTTCATTTGAACTAATGAATCACAACCATCAAATAAATGCTCTTCTATATAACATTGTTCACTATGTATAACTAATTTAGTAAGATTAAGACAATTACTAAATGCTCCCTCCCCTATATAATTAACACTTGATGGAATATCAATTTGTTTTAATGCATTACACCAACTAAATGCTCTTGTTCCAATCTCTTTTAAAGAAGTTATCAAGTCTATCTTTGAAAGATGAATACAATTAAAGAAAGACTTATTTCCAATACGTTCTAATGAAGTATCAAATTCAACTGAAATTAAATTACTACATCTTGAGAAGCAATAATTAGGAATTATTTTTTGTCCACAAAGAACAACAGAAGTTAATAATTCACACGAACAAAAACAATTCTCTCCCAAATAAATTACAGAACTAGGAATAACTATCTTAATCAGACCAGCACAATTTTCAAAACAATTATTCGCTATTTGAGTTACTGATGATGGTATATGAATTGTTGTTAAAGATAAACAATCACCAAATAAATTCTCTGGTAATACTTTAATACTAGTTGGTAATGAAATATTACTTAAACTAACACATTCATAGAAAGTACTATCACCAATAACTTTAACAGAATTAGGAATAATTAATTCTTTAAGATTTGTACAAAGACGAAATGCACTTCTTCTAATTTCTGTAAGAGAAGTAGGGAGATTAATTGTTTCAAAATCACAACTTTCAAAAGCGTAATCACCAATGATATGAACACAGTCTGGAATTTGATTTCCAAATTCTTCATGGTCATGAGAAGTAAACTTAATACGTTTCCATATAATTCTAAAATTTTGTTTTTTGATAAAAGTATGATAATCAATACAATAGTCAATAACATAATGATGAAGACCACCAATAATAAAATCATGTTTAGAAAATACGCGTTGTGTTTGAATGAACTGGAATAGTTTTCTTGAAGATCTAGTTACTTGTATTGTATTAGTTCTTAAACGATCTAATACTTCTTTAAATTTAGAATTTACCAAAACAACGTTAATAAAATCTTCTTCTTCTTCAAGGTACTTTAAAATAATTTGCATTGAATAAACATCAATTTTCTTCATGATTGAATTGATCTTTAAAGTTTTCTGTCTTATTTTTTTCTTCAATCAAAAATTAAAAATTTCCATACCTTCTTTTTTTTTTCTTCTTTTTAAATTCTTTTTTCTAATATCCAAAGTTTAATCATACTTCTTATTGTTAAAATTTGAAAACAAATAAACCAAATTAAATAACTACACCATTTTGATAAGAACAATAAAATAAAAAAAGAAAAAAAAAATAATCCTTTTGATTAATAAAAACATTCAGTCTAAACAACAAATATAATTAAAGAAAAATTAAAAATTAATAAAAAAATAATATTTTTAAGTTTATTGCAATGCAATCACAGAATGCTCGTTCTTCTATAACTTCTATTCCTAGAGAATCTCTTTCTCCTATTTCTCATCGAAAATCATCTATTTCAGCTATTCAACCTATCCCTAATGATTCTTTTGTTCTTCCTCCTCTCACTTCATCTCTCAATTCACAAGAAAATCAAGCTCACACTAATACAACTCCACTACCTAATGATGATGTCTCTTTATCAGAAAATCCTTACCTTTTATTAACTGCTAATGGTGATATTATTCCAAGTCCAACAAATCACTAGTAGTTTGTATTTTAAATATGTTCTTTGGCTTAGACATTTCTTTGATTCAAAATAAAATGAAAAATTATTCAAAACATCTCAATTTCTCTTTAAAGCAGTAAACATCCTCTTTTCTTTTCTTTCTTAGCTTTATTTCCTTTTTTACCTTTATTATTATCAACAGGTGCATTTTGTTCAATAAGACTCTTGGCAATATCTTCAAACATTTCTTTCACTCCAGTACCTGTTTTAGCAGAACATTCATATACTTTTGAAACATTTAATGATGTTTTAATAGTTTCAATAACAGATTCCTCAACTTTCTTTTCCATATCAGCTTTATTACCTATAATACATCTAAGGAATCCATCATCAGAAACAAATCGATCAGCAATCCCAAGGAAATTACGTACGTTTTGAATTGTATCTGGTGATGAATAATCAAATACAGCAATACATCCTTTTGCCCCTGAAAAATCAGATGCAGTAGCCTCAACATCAAAAGCAAGATCAACAATTTCAAATTTAATTGTTTGGTTATTTACAGTTATTTCTTTAGTAACCTACTTTGTTACTTTTTATCTTCATTAAAATATAAAATGAATACCACAAACATAAACCCCTTTACTTTGATTGGCTGGTTTTTCATCACTCCAAGCATCTTCTACAAATCTTTTCACTAATGAAGATTTTCCTACATCACTATCTCCCATAATAACAATCTTATATTTTGCTCTATCAATTATTTTTCTATTAACTTTACCTTTATGTTATTGACTGAAGAAACAAACGCCATCTTTTATTAATATAAGTTTCCTGTTTTTTCTTTTTCTATCCTTTATTCTTTTTTATATATTTATCTTTTTTAATAAATTATAATTTATAGACATAGATTCTATTAATACTTAATTAATTAATTTTTATTTAATAAATTATACTTTAAAATTTAATTTCATTAAATTCTCCGGAATCTTGTAAATTATTTTTTTTTGTAATTTGTTATTTCTCTAAATTTAGAAATATTATAAAAACATTATGTTCTTTGCATTGTGTTTTATGGAAATTTAAAGACTTATTGTTAAACATTATAAAATGTCACTCTTTTGTTCTTGAAAATTAAGTTAGCATCATCATTGTTATCTACCAAATTAGGCTATACTCTTATTTATATCACTCTCTTTTTAAAATGGTTTCAAATGTTTTTTTATTGGTGGTTCATTTTATGTATTTTTTCTATTTTTTACTTAATCCTTTTTATTTTTAGTCTTTCATATAAGATCCTTTTATCAATTCAGAATATACAACAAATTTTGTTGCAATGGCTATTGAGTAATGTTATAGAGTCTTGTAATGAAAATCTAACAAGAAACAGGTATTCAGGTTCAAAGAAAAGAAAGAATGAAATAACAATAAAATGAATAATAATAATGATAAAAGAAATAACAAGAGAAAAGTGAATAGAAAAAGAAGAATACAAATAAAAACAAATAAGAAAGAAAGTAAATATAATGATAATAAACATTATACAAATAAGAAATCTAAATTATTAACAATAAATGAAATTAAATTGAAAAATAAAAGAATAAGAAGTGAAGTTGTGAAACGAGAATAATTAAAAATACATAAAAAATAAGAAGATAAAGAGAATATATAATTCTCCAAGAATTATATTCAATAAGAAAGAAGAAAACAATAAAGAAAAACAAAGAAGAATTCAAAGATAAAACAAAAGATTGGAAAAGTGAAGATATTAAAACAATCGAAGAAGGAATCAAAAACAAAAAACAAAGAAATGAAATAAAATTACAATAATAATAAATTAAAAATAACATAAATAAAAAACACAAGATAAAGAAGAATATAACAAATAAGAAATTAACATATTTCAAAATAAAATCAAAGAATTAGAAGAAAATATTAAAGAACTTCAAACAAAAAAGAAAGAAGAAGAACGAACAATCTCAAATGAAATATTTCAAAAAACACGAAATACAATAGAAAAGAGTTTGAAAAAGAAATAAAAGAGATGAAAACACAAATAAACAATATTCAAACTACATTTAATGAAATAAGAAAATTCTAAATTAAAATAATAAAATATTT